TACGAGAATGTAGAAAGATGATTCCTTCGAGAACGAGATAGATGATTCCTTCGGGAATGAGTTGATGATTCCTTCAGGAATGGAGATGGATGATTCCTATGGGAATAAGATTATATGTGGTTAGAAAAGATTGAGAAAGGGTTCCATGACTGGAACAAGGTAAGAGGTTTCTTTCGAGAACCTTGATTTAATCCGTGAGGGATTAAGTGTAGATGATCCATAAATGATCATTGTAATCCATGAGGCATTCAAGAAAAGATAAGTTGTTAAAGGATTCGTGATGGGACTTAGTTTGGATGGTGGTACTTCGGTAAGTTAGAATTATGTAGTCCCCTATGATAGTTGAATCTATCATAGATGATTATACCGATTTGGGTCTAAGTGAGAATAGAGGGGCAAGGTATTAGAAGGTGAGAATAGAGAGGCAAAAGGTGAGAAGAAATGAGACGAATATAATGAAAGAGTAACAAGAAAATGTATTGTCGGAGAAAAAGAAGGTAGGAGATAGAGGGATAAAGAGTACGAGGGAAGAGAGAAAAGCATGAGATGAGATGAAGATAAAGCATGAGATGAGTATGAATACATGAGAACAGAACAAAGTATAACTCACCAAAGCATGAGGTGAGAAGTGGTGATGAAATAATATAGTGTGAGAAGAAGATATTGGAATTACAGAGTAAGAGAAAAAGAACTTATGATGGAGTATGAGTACATGAGAACATAACAAAGCATAACTCACTAGATTTGTGGTCTAATGTTGTAGATTCTTTCATGTTTTGTTGGTTCAGGTAGTAGTCGGTGTAAGAGAGAAGGTAGAGGCACAAGGACGTGGACTATAAGTAGTTTCACTTTTGATATTTCCTTATTGCATTATATTATTGTAAACCCAAAATAGCCTTGGATGTAAAATGTTTTTGAGTTATAGAGTTCTGCAAATATTTACAGAAACTCTGATAAATCCCTAAATACTTAGAGTGAAAATTTTGGGTCGTTACATTACAAGTATTGTACCTGACACCACATCGTGTGCCTCCTTAGCTTCTTCCACGGTCAACTGGAAGGTACGAGCTCTAACTTTCACTGGTTCCAACTTCTTACTTAAATTTAAAGTTACCATTTTACTTTTTTTCTTTGGGCAATTCGTGTTGATGTGTCATTTCTTGTTGCACGAATAACATTCCACATCCTTTGTTTCCTTCTTGCACTCAAACGACTTATGATTGAGGTCTCCACACTTATAGCTTGCTTTACTCCGAAACTTGCATTCGCCAAAATGATCCTTTCCACATTTTCTACAACTCGGACTCCCCCTTCTTTGAGCTCCCACTTGAAAATCTAATCTTCTTTCTAGTACAGAAGTCTACACTTATACCTCTCTGGAACACAAGTCCGGAACACTTATACCGCTCTGGAACACAAGTCTGGAATGGTCGTACATTCCGGAGTACAGTCTGGAACGTACGAGTGTCAGATTCCGACCTGAAATCCTACCAACCACCACCAACTCCGGAATGAACATAAATACTCCGGAATATCGTATTCTAAAATATATAGTCTGAAATTTACTTTGTCAGTCCGGAACGTACGATTGTTAGATTCCGGACCCGATATCTACCAACCATCCCCTCTCCGGAATACGACATTCCGAATTAAGTGGTCATTTTACAAAATCTATAAAAAATTGGTTATTGTTATCAAATTGTTCATTTATATGAACTAATTTACTCAAATTTCATAAATAAAATATATTTATTTTTTTATTGACAACCACTAGACAACTTAACTAGGTTTAGTATTACACGGAAAAAAGATATTAAAAACTCCTAAAACCTTTCGATGTGGGTAACGCCCACAATCGTTTTTGTGACGTGACATCGAAAAAACGTCGTGACCACGGGGGGAACACTACCTCATTCCCGTTATGTGGTCTTCAGTGGCCATGGCAACGATCTACAACACCATTTTCCCTTTTATTTTTCTCTTTCTTTCTCATCTTTTTTGTTCACATCAATGACGTTCCTTACATGGAACACCACTCCCAAAAAATGGTGGAGATTAAGAAGCTTTTTGGTGCTTACCTGACTTCACTATGCGCTCACTATGCGCTTGACCATACCCATCACTCTAAAAGGGTATTTTCAACATCACCTTATTTATATCGAAAAACATCATATATATATATATATATATATATATATATTATTGCTATGCGTCATTCATTTTATAATAAAATAAAGACATATAAACTATATCATTTTTTATTTTTTATTTAATTTGACTATGTTTTGATTTAGTATATAAAAAATAATAAAACAAATAAAATAAAATGATATTTGATTCTCTTATATATGTTCTTACAAATTTGTTGAATGGATAATAAAACAAGGAGTGGAGAGAAGACCACATGTTAATGATTAATAGGAAAAAAAGAATAAAAATGAAAGAATATAATGCAAATGCGCGTTTCATGTGAATTCCTTTTTCACGTTGTCCTTTCAAACACACGGCATTCACGTTCTCATCACGTGTCTATTAACTCACTCGTCACACGTCCCACCACCACGTGCCTTTCACCTTACTTCACCCACCTCATTCAATTTTTTATTTTTATTTCCCTTTGATAATTATTACCACATTTTATTATGCAAAATTGACTATACCAAAGTCCAAAGCAATCATGTATATTTTAAGCTTATTTTTTCATCCTATTTTTATTGACAAATTTTAACCGAATAAAAACAGTTTAACAAAATACAACACATAAATCGGGATATGCTAGTCACAGAATCTCAACCTTACCCAACATTTAAATCTTGCTGAAAATATCAAGATCTTTTTTTTAAATTGTTATTTTTATAGAAAATCAAATCAAGATTTTCCATGGCAAATAAAAAAAAAAATTATACTAATTTCTAGAAACAAATGAAATAAATTTATTTACCAATTTTATAACGTAGATATTAGTTTGTTTGATTTTGGGTGTATTATTACTTTTATGTCTCCATGTATGGGGTAGAAGGGCGACGTTTGTTTCGTGATTCCTAAACCATCAAACATTTCCTTAAATCGCAACACCCTATCATGCATAAAACATGTTCCCCGTTAAATTTAATTTACTTATATTATTTTTGAAAAAACCCCTTCACAAAATTACATAAAAGTCTATATAAAAATAAAATATGAAAGATAAAGACTTATCCAAACCCATGTTCGGTATGAGATATATACAACAAATCTAATTTCTAAAATCAAATACCATATATATATTTTCATTACTATTTAAATTATTAATTGTACTAATAAATTTAGCAAAAAGAATTATTATAAATACTTTTTTAACATTTTCTATTTGTTAAGTCTATGGTACTTAAACAAAAGTTAGGGGAATTAGAATATTGGTTGTGATGGGACCGACGTTTTTGCTCTTCCTTAGATTCTACTCAATTAAGAGGGACCTATTATAAATTAATGATCTAATTTAAGTGTCCCCTATTTTTATCTCAAACACATTTTAAAACCATATTACACTAAAAAGTTCAAAATAATAATAATAATAATAATAATAATAATAACAATAATAACCAAAATAATAATAATAATAATCAAATATCTTCAAAAAATTACAAGCTAAAAGCCGTTCACCTAAATTTATATATTAGTTTTCTTGGCTTTTACATTTATAAACATTAATTTATTTTTTATGACTTAACAAATCAGCATCATTGATCGAAAGCAATTTTGATTAATCCTAGGTACTATTTTGGTGTTTTAGGGACCCACATGTCAACTTACTTTGATCTTTATAAGCAATCAAAAATTTTAATCACCTAAGATAGATAAAACTGTGATATTATAAAGATGAGTAGATAACTACTGAAATGAAGAAAACATACTAAAAAAGTAACATTAGGCCAAAAATGTTATCGAGTAAGAAATAGTAATTAATTATTAAGTAGTAGTCACTATTTTGGCATGAGAAAAGCACAAGTTGCATGTTATGTGACTTTGGTCCAAATAATTGATTCCAACAAAATGTACCCAACAACATGCTTTTCAATCTCATTAAACAAACCTTCACAAGATTTCTGCCTACTCTTTTCAATTTGAATTATAAAAATAAGTATAATATTTAACTTGTTTGATAATTCATTTTATGAAATAATATTCTTTATGAAAATCTATTATAATTTCAATTGTATATAAAAATAATTGTTATACCCCATAGTCGTAAAAGTAAGAAATAACAAAATGTCTTTATTTAATATTTTACTTTTAAAATCTGATTTGATAATAAAAAATATAGTAAAAAATTATAATAAAAAAATCACTAGAAATGCCTTACGTTTCTTGTTTCAAATCTTAAAGTATATAAAATTAAATGGATGTTTATTACTATTATAATAGAGAGAAATAACAAAAGGGCCCAATGAATATAATAAACTTAACCATGGTTAACTTGTTCAACCCCCCTTGTGAACGACGTGCCACAGTTTAGATTAAGGAGCAGCACAAACAAACCAGTAGCCAAAGCCTTTACATCTCCATCCTCTTTCTCTTTCTCTCTCTCTGAAAATTAAAAAAAAAAAACTTGTCTCCTTCTCTGAAATATCCACAGTTTTGCTGCCATTAGAGGAAGAATTTTCCGCTTTTCTTATTGGGCCAACGGTGTGTGTTTCTTTGTACGAGCTTATCTTTTGAATTTTGTGCTCCGAAATCCGAATCTTACGTATTTTGTGGTCTTTTTCGTTTGATTAAGAATTTTAGATTCTGAGGTATCTGAATTTGGGAGTTATTAGGAATTGGGTATGTGAAAATTCGATTTAGTTTGACTAAATAAACTGCTGATGAAATGGGTCAATTTTGGGATTGTTTTCCGTTGTTTAGTTGAAATCCGTAGTTGAAAATTTGTGGGTTTGGTTTTGTGTTTTGTTGTTGGGGTACATAGGATTTGAATAACTGTTCTGGGTTTGAAAGTTTTCGATATGAAAACGGAAGCGAATATGGGAGGTGAGAGTTGGAACGATGAAGATAAAGCCATTGTTGCCGCTGTTTTAGGGTCTAGAGCGTTTGATTACTTGATTTCAAGCTCTGTTTCTAATGAATGCTCATTAACTTCGTTAGCAAATGACGAGAATCTGCAACACAAGCTCTCAGATCTTGTAGACCGACCAAATTCTGGTAATTTTAGTTGGAATTACGCAATATTTTGGCAAATCTCGAGGTCGAAAACAGGGGATTTGGTTCTTGGATGGGGGGATGGATCTTGTAGAGAGCCTAAAGAAGGAGAAGAATTTGAAATCGCTCGAATTCTGAGTTTCCGATTGGAAGATGATAATCAACAGAGGATTAGGAAAAAAGTTCTTCAGAAAATTCATGTTCTGTTCGGTGGTTTAGATGAAGATAGTTATGCTTTTGGATTGGATAGGGTTACTGATACTGAAATGTTCTTCTTAATCTCCATGTATTTCTCGTTTCGAAAAGGTGAAGGAGGGCCCGGCAGATGTTTCTCTTCCGGCCACCCCGTCTGGATCTCCGACGCATTAAATTCAACTTCCGATTACTGCTTTCGATCTCATCTTGCTAAATCTGCCGGCATTCAAACCGTCGTTTTGGTTCCGACTGACGTCGGCGTTGTCGAGGTTGGATCCATTCGTTCGATACCGGAAAACCCCAAGCTTTTACAATCAATCCGATCTTCGTTTTCCGTCGCTTCAGTAGCCACACCACTTCCAGTCAACAAACGACCCACCACCAATGCCTCCGATCGACCCGTCAGGGTTTCCAAAATTTTCGGACATGATCTCAGTTCAACTTTAAATCAGCCACAATTCCGGGAAAAGCTCGCCGTTAGGAAGCCGGAGGAAACGCGGCTTCCGTTTTCAAATTGGGCGCAGTTCAACAACACTCCTCAAAAGCCAACACCACAGTTACAAATCGATTTCTCCGGCATTACATCTCCACCGGTTAGCCGGGAGTCGAAAATCTCCGACGAAGCTCCGGCGAGAGACGAAAGAGAAGCCATAACCACCATTCTGGACGAAAAACGTCCTAGAAAACGTGGCCGGAAACCCGCTAACGGAAGAGAAGAACCATTGAATCACGTGGAAGCGGAAAGACAGAGGAGAGAGAAACTGAACCAGAGATTTTACGCTTTACGAGCAGTGGTGCCCAACATTTCAAAAATGGACAAAGCTTCATTATTAGGCGACGCAATCACATACATAACTGATCTTCAAAAAAAGGTGAAAGAGATGGAATCCGAACGACAATCAGGATCTCGTTTAGAGAAAATCGAAGTTCAAGCAGCTCTAGATGAAGTAATCGTAAAGGTAACCTCCCCTTTAGAAACCCACCCTATATCTAAAGTCATTCAAACCTTCGAAGAATCAAAGATCAAAATCATGGAATCCAAGATGACTGCAAGAAACGACATGGTCTTCCATACCTTCGTTGTCAAATCTCAAGGCCCTGAACAATCAACCAAAGAGAAGTTGATCTCTGCGTTTTCAAGAGAAACAAACTCGTCTTTACATCCATCTCCATGAAAGATGAAACCAAGGTAAAAAACAAAGTAAAAAAACAAAAAAGCAAGTTTTATATGCTACCAATTGATCTTGGATGTGTAGAGCAGGTAAAAAAAAACTTAGAAACGCTTTTGCGAATGTCCCTTTTTACGGTTTTATATACAGTTTTATCAAGGTTAAGTGTAGAAAAATAACATGTATGCGGATATTTTTAGATTCGTATGATCGTTTCTTGTGGAATATAATTCGTCGTGAATCGTTTGATGTTATGTTGTGACTGTGATCCCTTAAATGTGTTGAACACAATTGGTATTAGGTAGTATCGTAGTAGATATTATCAACCACCTAGCAGACTGATCTGTACTAACTGTGTACTATTGTGTACTAACTGTCTAGTTTTTGTTAGGCTGCTAGGAGTGGGCCGTTATTGCACCTAGTAACACCAAATAACGCCCAAGAACACCGCCTCCCATCCATGTTATTAGGTGTTATACGCCTGCGCGTTGCTTCCCGTTACCACCATCACTTCCATTAACGCCGTTTTTTTGTCATTTTCTTAATAACGCTGGTGTAGGCGTTGCCTACACCTACCAGTCTTAGACAACCTAGATTATACAGACCGTTAACATAAGTCGATCCATGAGTCGTCATGATACCGACTCTTTGGAAATGATAAGAAACTATGATATTTTGATGTAAAAGTGGAATTTCTTATTAGGGGAGAAAGAATGTCCAATATAAGGTGGTGTTGATCGTAAAGTGAAAAGTGTCACATGCCTAAAATGCTTACCTCTCAATAAAGCAACTATGATCCTCCTTAACAAAAATTTACTTGTATTTTAGGTTAAATTTTTTAATCATATACAATGTTTATTCATCATTATTTTGTTATATTATATTATACATATTAATGATAAATAAATATGTGATAGGTTAAATTTTTAATTATACATAATGTTTATTCCAAGGTTGTCAAGATCGGGATCCTACCTAGGATTGTTTTTGGGTTTGCAAGATCGGGATCGTAAGATCGGGATCGAGATCATAAGATCCCACAAAATAAAATATAATTTTAATTTATAATATTTAATCATGAAAAATATTTCAAACTTTTAATTTTTCGTTCAAAAGTTATAAAAACTTCAAAATATTAGTCATAAGTTACAATAAAAAATGATAAATGGTAGATTGGTAAAGGGTAAAAGTAATAAAATGGTAAAAAAATTCATGTGCAAAAAAAAAAAAAAAAAAATCAAGGAAGGTAGGATCGGATCGGATCTCGATCTTACGATCCTAATTGCGATCTTACCCCAAATACGATCATTTTACGATCCAGATCGTTTTTTATACCCAGGATCGTAGATCAGGATCGCGATTTTGACAACCATAGTTTATTCATCATTACTTTGTTATATTATATTATACATATTAATGATAAATAATATGTGATGTTTTTGTGGTGGAATTGAATAATGGGGAAAAAGCGTGAAAACCGATAATATTTGGGAAAATGTTTAGGAGGCCACTAATGGAAAACATGTATAAATGCAAAAACGTGCTAACAAAATAGGGACCATTAGTCTTTGATTCCCTTTTGCCTTTTGGCTTTTGCTTTGCTTTTTTCTTTTCTTTTTCATACCACATGCTAAACCTTCCTACCTCGTGATCTCAATTTACAAGAATACCCATATGACCATATCATTCCAAATGATTAATGAATGCAATTATTTAATAATCTACAAATTCAATGCTAAGTATTTTTCAAGCAGTTTTTATATTTTATATGGACATATTTTCGAAATAAATATGCAATGTTCTACATGAGAAGTTTTATAATTAAATAACAGACCACGGGGCTCAAAAATCAAAATGATTATTTCTATTTGGAAACAGATAAGTTGTTTAGCAAAATATTCCCTTATTTAGTTTAAAATTTATAAAACAAAAACTCTTCAACATTATTTTGAAGTATATATCTTCTTAAGCTAGAGATTGAGCCAAAACATTTTTCTTTTACATGTAATTTGTCATTAGAGTATCTACAAATTTGTTCCTATACGTCTTGCTCGTAAGTAAGTTGTTATCATGACTAGGGATGAACTTTTTAACTGAAAAACCAAACTAGAATTGGTTGGAACCAGTTAGTTGTATTCGGTTCGGTTCTCGGTTCTTCCAATTCATTATTTTTCGGTTTTCAGTTATTTTGGTTCGGGTCAGTTCCGATACCGAACGCCTTATTAGATAACACACTTTCTAATAGAACCAAACCATACCGAAACCGATTGAAACCGGTTAGTAGTATTCGGTCTAATTCTCGGTTCCCCATACTCTCCGTAATCGATCTTCGGTTTATTCTAGTTCCATAAATCGGTTACATCCCTAATCACGACTATGTCTCTCTCTAATGTGATATGCTTGTGTCGATATGTATTTGTTTCATTATCTTATCCGTAAGTGCCTAAATTTAAAAGAGGGGGGGGGGGGGGGGGGGGGGGGGGTTGGTTGGAGGGGAAGTTGCTAACCATATAAATATTATCAGTAAAATCATTAGAAGGTAGAAATAAGATTTTAAAGTCGATTAGCATTTTAAGTTTATATTTACTTCTATTCACTATCCAAAAGAATGAGGATAAAATAATCTAATTGAATATATTTGTCTTCCTTAGTTTGAACGCACCAAATAAATTAGCGTTTTTATGCTTCCACAACATCGAAAACGTAGAAATAATAACCATTTCAAAGCAAAGTTTTTACGTCATACTGAGGTTGTGTTTTGCGCGTCACAACTAGCTTATTTTTCGAGTTTTTTTAAGTTGTCATGTTTGGAAAACCAAAAACAACTTATAAGCTAGTTTAAAAAAAAAAACTATTTAGATTAGCTTTTCAGAAGGTTTTTTAATTTTTTTTTAAAATATACCCCTTAATTAATTATATAAAACATATTGTTTTAAATGTTATTTTATATCTTTCAGCTAGTTTTACCAAACATCATTTTTTATCAGTTAACTTTTCATATAACAGTTAGCTTTCAGCTATCAATTAGTTTTTCATCTAGTACGTCAAACATAGCTTTAGAGGTAAAAATAGCATGCCGTGTAAGCCAATTAGCAACTACAGAATAAGAGGGGATATCATAATCCTACCACCGAGAAATAAGCGACCAAGTCGCGAAGCTAAAGGAAAAGTGATCAAAACAAGATCAATTGTCTGGTATGTGATTCACTATAAGAACCCGAAATTTAGAAAAATTTAACTTTTAGTCAAATATTGACCAAAATGACAAAATGATCAATGATGAGAAAGAGATGGGAATATGAAGTTGTGACTTCATGAAAATGGCCAAAAAGAGTTTAAGTCACTTAGAAGATGTTAGATGAGTAAGTTCAAGAGAAAGAATGCATGAGAATATGCATTTTTTTTTGTCAAAAGTGGAAAATGGGAATTTTATGTTTTTTAGGCTAACTTTGTAACTTAACAGATTAAGACCCGTATTAAGTCATTGAGGTATCACTTAACAGATTTGTAGAGTATATTCCCACGTTCATGTGAATATAAAGAACATCGAAAACGGGTTAGTAACGAAGGAGATATAAGGGATTGAAGATTGAAGAAAAATTGTCCCAATGTTGGAATGGAATCAGTCAAGGGTTGCTGTCAAGACCGGAACCACAATGCAGTGGGCGAATCTCCATGGCACGACGAGTAATCCCTGTAAGAAGGAACGAAAAGGTACTTTGCCCCACGGCGCGGCATATGGGTGCGGCGACATGGTGGCTAAAGTATGATGCCTTTGAGAAAGAATACCATGTTGTGGAAAGTAGATGGTAACGACGTGGAAATTAAATGGCAACCATTAACCCCGAGTCAAAAGTTCACCGTGGTGTAGTGATTAGAAAACCGCAGTGTGGTGTTGCACGTGTTAATCTTCCCTTATCACCCTCATTCTTGCCAAAACACCCCCATTCCTTAGACGGGGGAGCTCCGAAGATTGGGAGGATGAAGGTGGGTTAAGTGGCGGTATAAGGTGCTAGATAAAAGGGTTAGATATCAAAAGCTTATGAGGTAATAATATACTTCATCTTTAAGATTTTAGGGCTTTAATGGTGATTAATAGAATTGAGTTAGATATGAATGATTACTCTTAAGAAGCTTGTTAATTGATGTCATCAGTAGTGTTGAGAAGCTTTGAACAAGATTTATGTGTGATTTCAGTGGTGAAAATACTATGTGTGAAGTTAGGGTTTGAAATCGTAAACTAGCAATTATGTTAATTGATGCATTAGATGTTAGAATGTGATGAATTAAGTATTATGGGATGCTTAGTTCATTGAATAGATTAAATTTAGAAGTAGAGAATGAAATGTTAGAATTATGATCAATTAAATGATCATTTTGACATTAAGAAGTAGATAAGCTCTTAATAGGCTAAGGAAAGTTTTAAGGAACTTGAAATGTTAAATGAATAGGCCTTGAGCAAGAAGATGAGCCAAAATGCATCAATTGAAGAAAAGAGTAAAGAAGGGTAGTTAGTCCTCACTAACTAACAAGGTGAGTTATAACTCTCTCTCTCTCTCTCTCTCTCTCTCCCTCCCTCCCTCTCTCTTTATATTATTATTATTTTATATATATATATATATATATATATATATATATATATATATATATATATGTGTGTGTGTGTGTGTGTGTATGTTTGTATATAAGACTCATGTATCTGAGCATGTGTGTATAATCAAAGTACGTAGAGATGTATATAGAAAGAATAGGGGTGTTATGAGTAATACCCTTAAGAGTAGATAAATAAAGTATAAGACTATATGTATTATAATCCTATGTAAGAGTAGATGATGAGAAAAGGTATATATGGATACCTATTAGAGTTTAGATAGAGATAGAGATAGAGACTGATTATACATAATATTATCATAAGTGTATGGATTTATGTCTAGACATAATGATATTGTGTAGAATACTTATATGTTATTAGACATGGATAAGGACTAATTACTTAATGATTTAAG